AATTTTGATTCAATTTCATTAAAATTTAATTTTAATTTTATTAGTATTTTAGCAACATTTCAGTAAATTTAGAATGCAGAAATTTAGAAAAATTCAGTGAAAAATCATTATTAATCAAAATTGATTGAAGAAAGTATAATGAAGTATTATTTTGTCTAAATAACAAAAAAAAAATAGCATTTCATATCGTTTCAGTTATTCGTGAGATTCGATTCCGTGTCGGACGGCACCTATCTCTAAATAACTATGCTGTTGAATTCTTAACCTCAACGATCGTACGGCAACTGGTGATGCTAATGCGCTATAACGATATCGTGGTGGATTATATTTACAATTATACTCTTATACCGTTCAAAAATGTAATGACATATTTGTCGGTAAATGTTTCAAAAGACATAACAACAATCACACTGCGATTAATATTGATACAATATTGTATAAGTAATCAAACTTTAACATATAACATGCTCGCAAAAGAGAGAGAATATTTCTCCTTTCTCTCTCGCAATATTTTGATAGAGTAATATTACGGCTAGATTCATTTTATAATTATAAAAAGAGTGTTATTATAATATGACAACTTATATATAACATAGTACCCCGAAGAACCGGTAAGTTTCACTTACCGCCGCAACTGATACGAGCATTAAGTGGAACGCTTCCTGTGTCTGCTGCTTGCAGCTATGAAATGACAGTTTGTAAAAGTACATAGCTCTACACGTAATTACAGATGCTAAACTCACAGAGAAAGTATTATATATAAGATCTAATTTTGTAAATTAAATACTAATACTAAATATAAAAGTAAAATATGTGACACACAAAAGAAGGTTAAAGTATGTATATTGTGATTGTCAGTTCTAAAAAATAAATGAAATAAAGTAAAGAAATAAACTCATACAGTACAGAACTTTGAAAAAACATAGATGAGACGTTGCAACGTTGAAGATAGAAGCGCGGATGTTTTTTCTACATAGAATATATGTTGATTTTTCTACATTGATCACAAGATATTGCTGCAATGTTGAATATATATTGAACAAAAAGTACAATTTTTTGCAACAATATTTGAGGAGTATTGAAAATGATATTACTGATAATATTAAGGAAAAATTTGTTATTATATAATAATATTAACAAAATAAATTATTATTAAATTTTATTATATTAATATATATGTATTATACATATTATATTACAATATACTATAATCATATTAGGTGCGCAACTAAGTTCCCGCTGTTTGTCAATAGATGGCTCCAGCAGTAAGTGCTGATCGATTTTGACATATCCAAAACGTCATGAACCAAGCTTAGACATATGGTAAACAAACCGCTTTGACACGTTAGTGATTTTGTTTTGGCGTCATATACTTTTGGTTGTGTGAAAATGTCTGATTTTGTGCCAAATAATCGTCATTTGCGGGAAGTGTTGACTTTCTTATTTCATTCGAAGAAAATGGCGGCTGAAGCGCATCGAGAGCTCCAAAAAGTTTACGGAGATGCTGCTCTAAGTAAAACAACGTGCCGTAATTGGTTTCGTCGCTTCAAAGACGGTGATTTCGATGTTGACGACCGTCCGCATAAAGGAAGGCCAAAAACCTTCGAAGACGCTGAATTGGAGGCATTGCTCGATGAGGATCCGTGCCAAACGCAAGAACAGCTTGCTTCAGCATTAGGAGTTACCCG